GCACTAGTTAGGCCTCAGCTGGAGTACTGTGTCCAGTTCTGGGTGCCACATTTCAAGAAAGATGTGGAGAAATTGGAAAGGGTACAGAGAAGAGTGACAAGAATGATTAAAGGTCTAGAGAAGCCTATGAAGCCAGGCTTCATGAACTGGGCTTGTTTAGTTTGGAAAAAAGAAGATTAAGGGGGGACATGATAGTGGTTTTCAAATATCTAAAAGGGTGTCACAAGGAGGAAGGTGAAAATTTGTTCCTCTTGGTTTCTGAGGACAGGACAAGGAGTAATGGGCTTAAAGTGCAGCAGGGGAGGTTTAGATTGGACATTAGGAAAAAATTCCTAACTGTCAGGGTGGTCAAATATTGGAATAAATTGCCAAGGGAGGTGGTGGAATCTCCCTCTCTGGAGATATTTAAGAACTGGTTAGATAGACATCTGTCAGGGATGGTGTAGACGGAGCTTGGTCCTGCCTTCAGGACGAGGGGCTGGACTCGATGACCTCTCGAGGTCCCTTCCAGTCCTATGATTCTATGATTCTAGGTGTGGGAGGGCTGGTGAAACTTACTGGTTAACCATTTGCATCCCTAATAGTAGTGGGTTTCAAATGTTGACTGATGTTGAAAATGTAGCTTACTTGGTGCTATATTAGCTCACAAGTTATGGGAGTGCTCTGATTCAAGAATGTCTGGTATGACGTGGTTCAGAAGACCAATTTGATATCCAATGGTATACTGGAGGCCTCCTCCTCAAGTTTTATTTTTTGATAAATTTCTGATAACTAGAGGTTACCTGGTAACAAGGTAGCAGGGTTTAAACATGCAGCTTTCCTTGCTAAAAAATTAATTCTGCAAAACTGGAAAAGCTGATGCCTTCTAAACATTGATGCCTGGTTCAGTGATATGGCTGACCTCACAGTTAACAAGTTACTAGCATGCTGCACAAGGGGTCTGTCTGGAAAACAGAAATCAAAAGAATTCGGGGTGACTTTTTAATGATGGTTAATGCAAATTCTGATGACATATGTAATTTCCTCTCATTTTATTGTAACCCTGTAATTATTGTGTGCATTATGATGAATAAAGTATTCTGATATACTTATTATATTTTTAAAACAATTATAATTATATCTCTATGCACATCTGTTGCACATATATGGCTATGATTGTTAACGTCAACAAAGATTTTTTCAGTAGCAGAATTATTAATAATGATACAGAAAAAGCAGAAGTGTTCAAATAAATATTTCTGCTCTGTGTTTGGTGGGAAAAACAGATGTAGTCATGATGATGAAATACTTATTTACAATCAGTACGTTTATACTGCACAAGCCTTTCAGGGGCATGCGAAGTATATGTTCTCCCCCTGACAGCACAGATATAAGGAATGTAGAAGGTGAAGCAATGCTTAGGGGAATTAGCATTTACCTAAGTGTATACCTTACAGAGTTCTCTACTCACCAGAAAGTATCTCCCCATCTATACTGCGTCTTTAACAGTTTAGTGTCCTAATGTCTGATGCCTCCCTCAGTGAGGGACTCTGACATGGAGAGGGCAACAGGGACAGGAGCTAACAGCTTCCTGCCTCCCACCTGAGAGATGCTTTCACTGATATGTGAAGAGATACACTGCAATGTACACACAGCCTGCTTTTCATTGAAACATGTAGCTACATATCCTCCATGCTACCAAAACAAGTGTACAATGTAGACTTACATGGTGAACAGAAATTTGATAATAGAGGGCTCTTTGTTCTAGCAAACAAAGGTAACAAAAAACAAAGGCTGGAAGTTGAAGTTATAATGCCTGCAGGAGTATACATGTGCAGCTATGCCGGTGCCACTCTAGGGGGCTCCCTGGCTGGCCCAACAGGTGCTGCTAAGGGTAAACAAGTTCCGACGATTGTGCACGAAGTGCGTGCACACTTACTGGAACGGACATAAGCAACACATCTCGAAACTCCCACGAAGGTGAAGCGGGTAGGATTGGAATGGACATAAGCAACACATCTCAAAGAACAACAATTACGAGGTAAGTAACCGTTTTTTCTTCTTCGAATGCTTGCTTATGTCCATTCCAGTCGGTGATCCCCAAAGCCATAACTATGGAGGTGGGTTCGGAAGTCTAAATAGTGACAGATTGTAGCACAGCCATCCCCACAGCAACATCCTGCTGAGCCTGCTGTGAGATAGCGCAGGGGTTCCCAAACTTTTTGATACTGGGGACTAGTAAATCCATGCACTAACATTGTTTCTGGTCCTCCCAAAGCCCCCAGTGCCAACTTTAGCCCACAGAAAAGTCAGTCGGGGCCATACAAGTGAGATACAAAAACACAAACCCACCAAACCCCGCAAACCTCACTAATGTTGCCCCAACTGTGCTTGTGGGTGCTGGGACAGAGTTCTGGGGAAGGGTGCCAAAGACTGCTGGGGCAAGAGACAGGGTGCTTATGGGTGCTGGGGCAGGGTAGCTGTGAGGGTCTGGGGAGGAGGAGGGGACAAGGACGGATACCTGGGGATCTTGTAGCTGCCAAGGCCCAAGAAGAGCGTGGACTGCTCCCCCGTCCCCCAAACAGCCAGGAGGCTGAACCCCAGCAATACCAGAAAAGAAAGGTCTGCTCTCCGACCCCGTGCCGGGAGCTCGAGTGGTGCCGAGACCTTGTTCGGTGCCAAGGGCTGTACCTCCGCGGTCTACTGGAGCGTCTGGAGAAGGCCCAAGAAGAGAGGGACTCCACCTCTGACACGGAGGAGTAGTCAGAGGCCAATCAGGGTGGTGTTGCCGACTGCTCCTCCCCTCCTGGTGCATATGGCGAGCCATCGCTGTTGGCTTGCCCCGGTGCCCTGGCGGTGCCAGCGGGTGCATGGCCTCTGTCTCTTGCCCATGCAGCAACGGTGCCGGGGCAACGTGTGCAGGCGGGGCCAGCAAGGTTGACGTTAATGCTGGCACTGCTGGTGCCGGGGGTACAGGTTGGGCCAGTGCCGGCTGAGTCGATATTGGCATCATCTGGGTCGGTACCATCGTTTGCGGTGCCGGGGGCTGCGATAACGGTTGGGGCAGCACCGAGACACTCAGTACTGTTGTAGACTGAGCTGACTGTGCGTCTTGTCTGGGATGGGCTTCCGCACCACGCGGTGCCAGTCCTGGAGGCGCCGTGAGCTCAATAAGCTCTTGAGCCTCCAGGAATGTCTTCGGTGTCAGCGACGGACAGACCTCCTCCATGGACAGGTCCGGGGACTTGGAGCTGCTCCCTCTGTGAGGGCTCGGCCCCCTGTGGCTCTGCTCCAGTGCCGAAGGACTCAGGCGCCCACTCCTCTGGCACGCCTCCCCTTTACGCGAGGGGGACCTGTCCCTGCACACCTTATGCACACGCGAGGCCGGGGACTGGGACCGGTGCCGAGCGGTGCTCCCGTGCCGAGGCATGCTTCCCCTGGTGCCTGGCTTCCCACACTGAGCCCGGAGCACTCCGCACCGATACGGCCTCCAGTGCCTGGGGTTGGAGCACGGACTCCATGAGCAACAGTTTCAGTCTCGAGTCCCGCTCCCTCTAAGTTCGGGGCTCGAAAGACTTGCAAATCTTACAAGATTCAGTAAGATGACCCTCAACTAAACACTTTAAGCAGTCCTTGTGAGGATCACCACAGGTCATTGGTTTAGAGCAGTGTCTGCAGGGTTTGAAGCCCTGAGGCCCCAGCACAGCCGCATCCCCTGCACAGGGGAGGCGGGAAGACACTAATACCTAAATATGAATAAAAAAGAGAACACTTAACCAAAGATGATAACTATTTACAGAAGATAAGCTTACACTAAGGGCAGTCTGCCAGAGCAAGACCAACATTCCGGTTCAGCGTCACAGGCAGTAAGAAGGAACTGAGCAGGGTTGGGGACAGCAGGGGTATATATGTGCGGCTATGCCGGCACCACTCTAGGGGGCTCCCCAGCTGGCCCAACGGGTGCTGCTAAGGGTTAAAAAGTTCTGATGACCGTGCACGTGGCGCACGTACACCTACTGGAATGGACATAAGCAAGCACTCGAAGAAGAACTATCAAGTATTTGTAGCTTAGTCAGTCAATTATGTTGCATTAAATGTAGTTAACTTCTTTCAATGATACTTTGAATAGAATATTAAGAATCTAAGATGATTTTGTCCTCAAACACAACTATATTGATTTTCTGCTTTGACTAAAATGCTGTGGAATATGAAGTGCTGTACAACTACATTCCAGAGAACTATTAAGTGGCTGATGGAGATTTCTAAAGGTAGGATACCAGACCAAGTCAGTTCTAAATGAAAACAAAAATCTTTTCCTGCCTAATTCTTAACCAACAATGTGATAACTTTGAGCAACACAGGTGAACATAATACAGAACATTCAACAAAAGATTCAGGTAAATTATTTTATGTTACAGGTTGAACCTCTTTAGTCCAGCACTCTCTTCTCTGGCATAATTTTAGTGAACCGGATGCCCACTTATCATAGTTGTGGCCTAGTTTCCTGCAGCCCCATAAAGTTTGTTTGCAACCACCAGTCCTGGCTCTCAGTGTTCTGTGCTTTTATTTAGCTCTAATTCATCCCTAAATGTCTTCTAAGAGTCCAGTAAGTAGTGGAAGTGTTGGTAATGATGCTAGACAATATTGACCTTCCATGGTTTGGCAAATTCTTTGGTTCATCACCAGTCAGGTCCTGAGGGTGCTGGATTAGAGAGTTCAACCCATAGTCTGTTTGACTACATACATACAATACAGTTGCATTCTGGATGTTGGTTATAAGACAAATATAAAATCAGAATATACATTCAAATGTTTATATACGATTTATCTAGTCTGCAAATGTAAAAAAAAAAAAAGCCACCAAGATTTGTTTGCTTACTATAATGCTAAGAGACTAATTATGCAGCAATGATTTTCCAGCTGAATAATTTGTGTTAGAGTTTTTGTCAGTAACAGGTTTCTGTTTAATGAGATGCTTACACTGAAATATTGGTATTTAAACCGCCTGTCAATTTACATACCTGAATCATTGTCTCTGCCAGCTGTGTTTCATCTACTTCCAATATCATCATTTTGATTTCCTCATAAGGCACTCGGAAAGAACCAAGGAAAATAGCTATAACAAAAATTCAATACATAATGAATGGTGAAGTAGTAAGAAGCTGATCTCTCTTATTACTTACAAAATAAAACCTAAATGGATTGTAGAGTCCTATAGGTCACCCAAACATTGTATATGATAATAGGGACAAGAGAAAAAACTTTCTATTCAGCTTTTTATAATTTTGTGTGCTGAGGTAACCATAGACAAATGAGATAAAAAGTCAGTCCTTGCTCCAGGAAAGCTACTCATCAATTACTATATTATTTGTACTTGGACAACCATTTCTTCACATTTTTCTCCCCCTTATTGCATAGGAATATTTTTAAGCAGAAAAAGAGTGAGAGCGAGTACTTCCTTAAGCAAGACCACTGTAAACTGCAAAACAATCACATTTCTTGATGAATAGTTTTGTTTGATATAGTATCACAATTGTCCAACATTTTCTTCATACACGGTACTTAATGAGCAGTTTCTCATGAATAAACTGTCCTTCTAATTCCACATCTTTTCTTCAGCCTTCCTTATCTGCTCTAACGATTAGCATTATGATCATTTTACAGCACCAGATATGGTACATCTAGCCTGCAGAGTTTTTCCTGGGATACCAGAGGTATCCCGGAAAAGCTCTGCCGCGTCCAAGAAATGCATCTGCCTTTCTTTTAAAAAAACAAAACAAAAACAAAACAAAAAACAAAAAACAAAAAACAAAAAACAAAACACAAAAAAAACACTACTCGGAAAAGCAGATGCATTTTTTCAGCATCCCTTTAAACCTCATTCTACAAGGAAGAAAGAGGGTTTTTTTCTGACATTTGGCCCCATGTAGAAAAGCCTCTTTCAGAAAAAAGTGGAAAAAGATACCCAAAGTATTATTCGCAATTTGTGTATCTTTTTCTGACTTTTCTTTGTGGTGTAGACATAGCCACAGAGTACTAGATAATTCACTATAAAATAAGACAATAGGTATGGGCCTTGAAGATTTTACAACCTAATCACAGATATTATGGAAGAAAAGGGTATCAAAAGAGGAGGGGGAGTAAAAGGTAATAGAAAATGAAGGAATAAATGGTAATAGCCAAGATTATGCAATTACTTAGACAAGTAGAGAGAAGTGTGCATCTTAAAGGTAGGTACAAAGTTTAAACCTGATCTTGGGAAATAGTAGCGTCAATCAGAGATAAAGTTGATGTGAATAGAAATCACAGCTTTACAGCTCTAATGTGTGGGTTCTGTGGAAAAATATCGATGTTAGAAATCATAGCAAGGGAAAAACTTTGCAAGCTTGGATTAGAATTTTCCTGTCTGGTCAAAAAGAAGTGATTGCATTTTTAAAATATCATGCAGAACAAAGGGACAAAATTTGGACACAAAATGGATGTGAGGAGGCAGCAGCAGTGGCTAATAAAAGATGACCATCACTCAAGGTATGAGTCTGAATAATGGGAAGTAATGGTGACACTGAAAATTTTAACAGAAAATGTGAGAAGGGACACAGATTTTAAAAAAAAGCAATCAGTACTGAGCAAATTAAATTTAAACTGGAGAATACAGGAAATATTAAAAAAGCAGACTGAAATACAGGTTTTGATGAAGGAAGACCTCTTGTGGAGAAGATTTGGGATTTGAGAGCATAGATATAGTAATTGAAATCATGTGAACAGAAGACATCATCTAGAGAAAGAATACAAGGGGAGGGGAAAATGAGTTTTCTTCCAGACTTATCCAAATCCACTTTGCCCCTTCCAATGCACAAAGCACACTGTTGCTATCTTCTTGGGCATATTAACATAGCTAATTTTAAAAACTGTGGAGGAAAGACCACCAGTTAGAATAGGAAATAACACAGACTATTTAGATACATTAGATGTGTTCTAGTAGGCAGACATAGATTAACTTCACCTTAACATACTTATTGAAGTAGCTGAACAAGTGTTGAAAGTGTTAACTATCGTTGAAAGAGTTAACTATCGTTGAAAGATTATGGTGGTTCGGATCAGGTCTCAGAGGACCAGAGAAGGACAAAGACATTGGCTATCTCTAAGAAGGGAAATAAAGAGAATATGGGGAATTAAAAACGCATGTCTCTCACATTGTTAGAAGGAAAAACACTAGTACAAAGGCCTAAAAAATCATTTTTTAAGTATCTAGTAGAAAATAGGGTCATGAGTAATAGCGAACATGGATTTGTCAAGAACAAATCATGTCAAGTCAGTCTAATTTCCTAATTTGACAGGTTTACTAACCCAGTGGATTAGCTGAAAAGGATCGGGGAGTTACAGTGAATCTGATTGAATGTAAGTCACCAAAGTGAGACAGCTATGGAAACTATGTAAAAGGCTAATATTCTGGGATTTATTAACAGGGGAGTTGTACATTAAAAATAGGATATAACTGCTGTGTTCTAGATATGCCACATCTACAGTCCTGTGTCCAATTTTGTATGCCACATTTCAGGAAAGATGTGGACAAACTGGAGTGCAACAAAAACGTCAAAAGCTTTAGAAAATCAGACCTGTGAGGAAAGGTTAAAACAAGTGAGCATGATTGATCTTGAAAAAAAGACAACCAGGGAGACCTAATAACCATCTTAAAATATGTTAAGGACTATAAGTAAAAAAGAACCGTGATGAATTGTTCATGTCGACTAGAGGTAGTACAAACAGTAAGTGGCTTACTACGTAGCAAGGGTTAAATATTAAAAACAAATCCATCTAACTATGAGAAAATGGAACTACTGCACTATGTTTCCAAGGAAGATAGTGGAACCTCTCTCAGGGTGGTCTAAGTATGTTTCCAAAAATCAGTATTGCCTGAAGCAGTCATACAACATGGAAAATTCATCCCAACATTAAACATTTTTGAAAAGACATACAAAACTGAAAACAGGTTCTTATTCCAGATCACCCTGTTAACACTGACTATAATGAATTTACCAAGTTTATATCAGGACAACATTCTGTCCAACATAGCAACTTTCTGAGAGCTGATTGCAGGATAAAGATTATGAATATTACCAGCCATTTAAAGTCTTTCTTTCATGAAGAAAGGTCTGAGCAAAAAGAAGGGCTGGCTTCTTGCCACTGACAATTTGTTCGTTTTTTTTTTTTTGTTTGTTTGTTTTTTTAAATCTAGTGCATCTTAAATATTTTAAGTGACAGGTCTTCTGCTTCACAAGCTACTTATCAGAAATTTCCTAAGACTTTTTCCTTGGTATTCAACCTAAAGTTTCCTTTCTAAAAATGTAGTCCCATTAGTCCTAATTATAAGCTTTACAAGAACATAATATGGGAATACAGATGTAACACATTTTTTCTCTCCCCTCACACTATATTATGACAGCTACAATTAACTGTATTAATATTACATACTCCTCTCTTGATATAATCAAAAGGAAGAAGCTTGCAGGACATACTTCATGTGCGGCCTGGACTTTGGGTAACTCTCCCAGCACTTTACTCATCTGAATTGGTTAACTCTGTTGAGGTACACAGCAGAGAAAGCTAACTAAAATAAATTTTAGGTTTTATAATCTTGAAGTAACTGATAGAGCTCAAAGCTTGAGTATGGATGATTTTATCATACTAAACAAATTTAAAACGTATTAATTGAAATTAGCTTGAATTTTAAAAAATAATCACTTCAATAAAATATCAAAACAAGTTCTACACAAATCATTGTAAAAGAAAAAAAGTTTCACAAAAATAAACAATAGAAATTGCTTTGGTTGTCACCAAAATAGCATCTGCTTACAGAGATTCTGTGCAATCTTCGGGTCTAATACTTTAAGTTCTTTAATTCGTTTCTTAATGGATTTCCTCTCCTCAAAATCTTCCTCCTCTTTTTTAACTGCAAAATAAAAGAGAAAACAAAAATGTATTCACAGTATCAAATACAGGGAACCAAATTCCTGAATGGAAAAAGCTCTCCAAGTCAAACAGACAAATCACTGAGAGAAAAAAGGTACAACTGAGAAATGAATTACCAGTTATATTTTATTTTGCAATTATTGCTCGTGTTTGCTTCAGTGGAACTAAAGAAGGCAGCCGTCTTCTCTACATACTGCCTTTAATAAAAACGAAAGATATTGTTTTCAAAACGTAAAACCTAGAATTTTAGAAAACAGTGTCAAGATCACGGGATTTTAGATCATGCATCATAAATGTGATTGTAGTCAGCTTGGTCATATGGTGCAGTGAAAAAGAATGAAATCTGAAGTCAAATTTCAGGCATAAGTTTTAACAATTCTAAGCAAACTGAACATATAAAATGTTTAAAACTGCAATTCAACTTTAAGTGCATGAGATATTTTCAAGATTATACAAATACATCATAGGGGGAAAACGTGAGTGCTGCCGTAAACAGAGTATGTGTTAAATCAAAGTAAAATTGCTCAAAAATATACACTCCCTTTTCTTCCTTCAAAGCAGGCATCTTAGTAGATTCAGTCAATTACTTGCCCAACATTGAGTGGACATCAAGAACAATTGATCATAGCACAAATGTCGGCTTCCTCTAGGCCACTGGTAGTACTCACCCCCATCCCACATACACAAGGCCCCAGGCCACGCCCACATCCTGGCTCTTCCCACGTTCACTCCAGCTTCACCTCATCTCTTTCTGCCTTAGTTCCACCCCTCCCCAAAATGAAACCCACTCCCACTTCTCTCCTCACCTCCTGCATGTTGCAGAACAGCTGATTGTGACCAGCTCAGGGCATTTGGAGGGAGGAGTTGATTGTGGGGGCTTCCAGCAATCAGGAGAAGCTGGGTGGGAGGAAGAACTGCAGATGCTATATACCCACTAACTTTTTTTGTAGAGCACCCACAGCGTCTGTACCTATGAATCATTGTTGTCTTTATAATAACCCTTAACATATTGGAAGACAGTTATTAGATTCCCCTGCACCTAGACTTCTTTTCTCAAAACTACATATTCCTAGATTCTCTCCAATGTGACCATATCTTTCTCGACGTGTCAGACTCAAGACTGAACATGAACTGAGGCCTCACAAGAACTGAGTGGAGTGGGATAATTACATCTCATATGCAACATTCCTAACAAACTCCTGAATTTCCCTTTTTGTAACAGCACCACATTGTTGCCTCATCAATTATTCTCAATTTTGGTTTTGCACATTCAAGTCTTCTGTGAAGTATTTTGCTTGTTTTCACTGAATTTCAGTGTTGATTTCAGAGCAATTCTCCACTTTATCAAGGTCCTTTTAAATTTTACCCCAACCTTCAATGTGCTTGTTGCAATCTCCTCTACAATTTTTATAAGCTCCACTATTATTATTCAAGATATTAATGAAAATATTTAATTATACCAAATGTAGCAAACACCTTTGGGGACCCAAGCATCATTCTTCCAGTGTGACAGTTAACCACTGATAATTATTTTTACAGATTATGGACTTTCAAAAGACTAACAGTTAAAGTGGAAAACAATTTAAAATGGTGATTAATCTTCAAAATGAATTGCCAATTGTACCCCACCTGAAATATTTATAAGCGTTTAAATAAGTGGGAAATCTGAAGTATTTCTATTATTATTAAATTATTGTATTAGTATTTATATTAAAACGAATCTGAAACAAAACATGTCTGTGCTAAGTTTCTTGCAAAACCCACATTTTAATTAATTCTATTTCACATTAATAAATCAATACAGTTGTTAATTCTCAAAAGAAATTTGAACAAAAAAGAGGATGTGCTGTACTTTGAGTGAGACATGTATTTTTCATATACAATAAAGGAATTAAATCTCTGCTTTAGTGAGGAAACTCAATTCAGCCTTAACCATGGATTCACAAACATCACTTCCATAACAATAAAATTAATACCACAAATATTTAAAAGGCAGAACATTATGTTTGCCTTTTATAATTTTGGCCACAAAAGTTGCAAGTGATAATGACATCTCAAAAAGTAGTTGTCAGTGGAGAATCACCATCAATTTAATGAGGTTCTCTAAAGGCCAGTTCTGAACACAACACTATTCAGCGTTTTATCAATCTTCTGAAAGTAAATACAAGTAATTGCTAACAAATTTTAGAAGACAAAAATAAATGATAATGAAAATAGAGCAATAAGGCAAGATGAGCTGAATCATTTGGGGAGCTGGGCCCATTCAAAAAAATGTATTTTAATGCAGACAGATGAAAGGTCACATCCTGGAATAAAGTATACAGGCTATACCTGTAGAATGGGAGGCTGTGACTTTAAAAACAAACCACTGAAGATGACCTCCAGCAAAATACTACAGACATAGGGGCTAATTCAGTCCTTCGATGTATAAAAAAGATGATCAGAGGGCTGAAAAAAAGGGAACTAACTGTACGTCTGATTGTGGCCATAGTAAGTCTCTATATTGTTCTGTTGTCTATAATTTTTAAAGAATGCTGAAAAAGACAATTTTTTGTTTCTATTTCGCTACTTATTTGAGTGATGAAAAAAAGTTCCTTACAGTGAGATACTCAAGAAGTTCAATCTGTTTTGTTTATAAAAAGATCAAAAGGTACTTTTAATACACTTCTCCCCATGTAAACAAACTTTCATAGGGAAAAAAACGCTAGCTATTAAGGGGTTCTTTATTCTATCAGGCTACGTCTACACTGGCCCCTTTTCCGGAAGGGGCATGTTAATTTCAGAAGCCGTAATAGGGAAATCCGCGGGGGATTTAAATATCCCCCGCGGCATTTAAATAAAAATGCCCGCCGCTTTTTTTTTTCCAGCTTTTAGAAAAGCCGGAAAAGAGCGTCTACACTGGCCCCGATCCTCCCGAAAAAAAGCCCTTTTCCAGAGGATCTTATTCCTACTTCGAAGTAGGAATAAGATCCTCTGGAAAAGGGCTTTTTTTAAAAGCCGGAAAAAAGCGGCGGACATTTTTATTTAAATGCCTTGGGGGATATTTAAATCCCCCGCGGATTTCCCTATTACGGCTTCTGAAATTAACATTCCCCTTCCGGAAAAGGGGCCAGTGTAGACGTAGCCTCAGAGAAAGCATATACAGGACACTATGGCTAAAAGCAGAAGCAACAGAAATTCACATTAGAAATAAGGCGCTTATTCTTAGCAGTCACAAGGACAAACTATGATAGGAGCAATGAATTCTCCAGATCTAGAATTCTTTCAAATGAGGACTGGATACCGTTCTAGAAGTTGTGCTTCAGCAAAACAAAACTGTTGGGCTCAAAACTGGCTGAAATTCAATGGCCTATAACATAAGAGAGGTCAGACAATATGATCCAAAGGTACCTTGTAGCCTCAGAACTATTAATCTGGAAAAAGATTCTCTATCAATTCCTCCATCCCAATTTCATCCATCCAGAGCAGGGTTTCCGAACCTATGGGTCGCCATTTCAAAAGAGTCACCAAATGTCTCCCCAGGTGGTGCTCTTAAGGAGCCATTCACACATTTGAAAAGGTCCCAGCTGGTCAGCTGCACTGCCGGCTTAGTTTAAAGGAACCATTCGCCTGAAGTGGTACTCAACTTAATTGAAACAAAAAACAGGATTATGTAGCACTTTAAAGACTAACAAGATGGTTTATTAGGCGATGAGCTTTCATGGGCCAGAGCCACTTCCTCGGATCCAATAGTGGAAGAAAATTGTCACAACCATATATACCAAAGGATACAATTAAAAAAATGAACACATATGAAAAGGACAAATCAAATTTCAGAACAGAAAGGGGATGGGGGAGGTAAATGTCTGTGAGCTAATGATATTAGAGGAGGTAATAGATATCTTCCCCAATTATCACCTCTAATAGTGCCTAGCTCAGGTAGGTGGGGATCAGGCATTGGGCCATCCCGTTAAGAAGTTTCCAACCGCCTTGCCTGGGGTTCCCACAGTAGGCTTGGCCGGTCAGGGCAGAGTCCTGGCCGGCTTGCAGCCACAGGGGGCCGGGGTAGGGGCTAGAACTGTGTTCGGGAGCCGGGGGGCAGAGGCGGCCGGGACTGTGCTGGGGGGGTGCCGCAACAATTCAGAGGATACAACCGTTAGCAAAGCAAATGCAAGCTCCATCATCCCATTAATTTAAGTTCAGGTGAAACTGTTTGGCAAAATACTACATTTTACTTGTTTTTTTGAATAATGCATATTATGCTTCTAATATTTTTGTAACACTTGTGAGTGAGACCCCCAGCCTCAGAGTGTACCCTCCAGCCCCTGACTCCCAGCCCGAGTGTGTGACTCACATCCCCTCTAGTCCTTGAGTGTGACTCCTAGCCCTCCTAGTCCCTGAGTGTGTGACTCCCAGCCCGAGTGTGCCCTCTAGACCCCTGACTGTTACACTCCCAGCCCCTCCAGCTCCTGAATGTGACTCTCAGGCCCTCCAGCCCCCAAGTATGACTCCTCCAGCCCCTCCAGCCTCTGAGTGTGGGGTTTAAGCCTGGTGGGGGGGAGAGAATAGGGGGCAGTGGTTTGGGGATGAGTGTCTTTCCACAAACACAACTCTAATAAATGTAGTGTTATTATTTTATTAATGTATTTTCAGTTTTTCTATAAAATGAATATGTAAACAGAAGGGGGCATATTGTATATTCTTGCCTTAGGCGCAAAATTGCTAGTTACGGCACTTCCCTCACCCTTCCCCATGTTTAATTGCCTTGGGTCACCAAGTCTTCCTGAATAGTCAAAATGAGTCCCCATCTGAAAAAGGTTGGGAACCACTGATCTAGAGCATAAGCTCTTTTTTCCATGTATTTGTATGTCATCAAGCAAAAGGAATCTACAATCTTAAGTGGAGAGTCTGTGCACTGCCATAACAAATAATAAATAATTAATGTTTAAAGGTAGTATAACAATGAAATACATATTGGTTTTGCTTTATTTCCACAAAATC